AAGATACCTCTTGTTTCCAACAATGGACAACAAGGAACAAAAGTATTCTAATTCTTAATTCCAACAATCCTGGAAATAAGTTACACTTTGTATAATTCTATGAAATATGATTTCTTGAAAGATGTTGATCACATAGAGTGACTTCAATGAAGTTTTCTTCTTTCTTCTCTTGTAAGCAATTCAAACTGTAACACAATGGTTAGACAATGCTCAAAGATTTCTGTTCTTATATGTGTGAAAGTGCAGAAAATCTTTGTTCTTAAAAGTTAAGAAATATGAAGTTTGAATAAATTACGAAGTTCAGAATTATTGCATAAGAGAAGAGTTATTTTATAATTTTGAAAGATTTCGTATTTAAAGTAATCAAGATACCTTTCCAAATGGATACTTTTCTGTTTGTAAAACTTGAGAAGATGCATTGTATGACCATGCATCTATTGGAGAAAAGGTGTGAAGGATATCTTGAAACCAGTTCAGATTTTTCAAAAATTACAACGTGTAAATCGATTAGCATTAGATGTAAATCGATTTCACGAGTTTGTAACGTTCTTGTTTTCAAAATAATTGAAGTGTAAATCGATTAGCATGATGTGTAAATCGATTTACAAGAGTTAAAAAATTAATTCAGTTCAGTAATCAATCGATTTACACTCCATGTAAATCGATTGCTGCCAGGGGCAATCAGTTTTTGAAAAAGCATGTGTAAATCGATTTATATGATATGTTAATCGATTTACATCAGTGAAAAACTTAGAATTTGTTTTAAACTTTAAGTGAAGTGTTGTGGCAAGTGTGTATATCATTTTTGAGCATTTCTAATCAATGTAGTTCAAAAGAGAATTGATATACTTGATTGCTTGCCATGATCCTTGAAGCTTTAAGTGAATGGTGCTTTAAGCTAATTTCACTTCTTTTCCTTCTTGTCATAGTGCTTGTTTGTCTTTCATCAAAACTAACTTGTTTGTCTTTCATCAACTAAAGTTGAGTTGAGGCTTGAGATTATAGAATATACTGTCACACTAGAGGACATGTACATGTTATTGGGTCTCCCTATCGATGGTAAGGCAGTTAATGGGTCGGTTTAACAATCCAATTCTCTATGAGAGGAATTATTGGGCAAATATATGGTAGAAGGCAGTGGTGCTAGAGGCCAAGGTATATTACTAACTGAGCTCAAAAAACATTATGTGACTCTTGAGATGAATAAAAATTCTTCCGAGCTAGCAAGAATAATAAAAACTAGAAATTATATGATGATACTATTTGGAAGCTTATTGTTTCCCGAAATTACAGGGAATAGTGTAAATTTTATGTATTTAAGTTTGCTTAGGAACTTTGAAAAAACAAGAAACTTTAGTTGGGATTCTGTTGTTTTAGCTCATCTATACAATTCTTTGTGTAAAAACGGAATAAAGGATAAATGTACTTTTTATGGATGCACTTTCTTACTCCAAGTCTGGGATTGGTGGAGAATGGAGTCCCTAAACCCCGTCAACAACAATGCATTCATTTTCCCATACGCAACAAAGTAAGTCAAGAACTTAAATAATTTATTATTCATCCTTTCGCCAAATAAATGTATAAAATTAACTATTTTTCAATTCCTTTAGGTACTGCGTAACGAGTATGGATTACGGAAAGAACGCAAGATTCAATGTCTCTCTATATCGTAATCTATTGGATCACCTTGGCTCGGATGATGTACGTGGTACCTTTGAACTTTTCTACTTTGAAATTATTTATTTTTTACGTTTTCATTATTCTAATTTAATTTTATCTACAGTTTATCTGGAGACCATATTTGGGTTTGGACCATGAACTAAACCCCGAGGATGCATCAGTTTAGACTACAAATACTGCAATCACACAATTCAACATTGTGCAGATGCACCCCAACGACCGTATTAAGATACAGTTCGGAATGCATCAAGAGATACCATGCGATCCAACTTATTTATCACCCTGGCATCTCAAAAGTGTCGACGCCCAATGGGGTTTACTAATTGGAAAGATTTTATTCCAGAATGGTGTAAGATGTGGCATATGCGTCATCAACATGTCTTACAATTCCCTATTTTCCTCAACCAGAATAATATGCGACACACAGATCAATATTTTGATTGGTACAAATTGGTTAGTAATCTAGAAATGAACGTATCTCATCCGAGATATTTGTTCGACCCACGAATACAACGGGCACAAACCTCAAATCTCCAACAACAAACCCAACGCACATCAATTTTCCACCAAAACCACGACGACACTGATCCACAAACACCCAATCACAATCACCACCTCAATACCAATACACCCATATTCCCCACACCCAACCACAATCACCAACTCAATACGAATACACTCATATGCCTCACACCCAACCCCAACCCCAATCGCAATATCAATACACCCACATGCCCCACACACAATTCCAGTCTTCTCCACTTCCCGATATGGCCCCCTCATCATCTCACATTAGCTCGGATCTAGGTTTTCTTGAAGAATATGACTCAACCAATCCAACTTACCATCAACCACCTTATCACCATAGCACCCAACAATCGCAATACCAAACACCCCAAGATTCATTTCCTTTTTACCCCATTTACTCATACGCTCAGTGCTATAGAGCATCCATGGAACCCCACCCCCTACTAAGACGACCAAACTTTGAGGACATGGGTAACCGACTGTAACAAAGCGGATCTTCCAGATATGGTGATCTGACCGATTTCATGGATCCTGAACGTATTGACTTCGTTGGACCATCGACCTAACCGCCAAAAGAAAATCGACGAAACCCACCACGAGATAGGTGAGGACGCGGATGCGGAACCACAGGTCGTTACCGAGTTTCAGGGGACAACTAACTAATATGCATGGTTTTTTTCATTATGTAATCGTTCATTTGTTAATGAAAATCGAAGTTTCATGAAACTATATAGTTTATTTATTGTCTCGTATTTAAAATAGAAAGAAAAAAATTACCTCTTAAATGCACTTAGACGCCATCTGAGATAACTTATGGCAAACATATTGTATCTAGGCGTCATCTCACTTGGCGTCTCTTTCTAAAATTAAAGTGCATGTGTCATCTCACTAGACGCCTCTATTGTGGTATTTTCTGAAACATGATTATTTGTGTAATTTTCTCTGAAACATGGTTATTTGTGTGTATTTTTTTTTTCAATACTTAATTATTGTTAAAAAAATTCTGAAAATATATCTCCAGGCACATTATATATACACAATTTTATATTTTTTAGTCACGTTTCAATTCTATATTAAATTTATTCTGAAAATGTATTTCTAAAATGTCTCCAAAAATATATTTTCAAAACCTACTCAATAGGAGATTTTCTGGGTTTTAATTTATTGACCGTTAAGGGTCCTTTTTGACAACTCCTTAACAATTTTACAAAATTAAGAACAATGCAGAGTGATTTGAGGGTATGTATATATCCATAAAGCTACTAACTGAAAGACTAAATATAGTTCACAAGCAAAATAATTCAACCTATCAATCTACCTTACACAATGACAGTGCCTTGTTTCCTCAAATCTTCAAGATATGCTTAATAAGTTTTTTTAAAAAAATTTGCTGAACCCAAATTCAAATAAAGGCAGGTTCCCGAGATAATTCTGATTATAATTTGAGTTTTTGCATTTTTTTCTAGTTCAATAGGTTTCAAAAATACATTTTTGGAATAAATTTAATCATAGAATTGAAACGTGGCTAAATAACAAAAGAATTTTATGTATGTGAAGCAGGTAGCAATCGTTATGGTGCGGTAAGCAACCCCGTGTAATCCCGTGTACTATGCTAGAATTTGCCTCTAAGGAATATATTAAACGAAGAAGTCCTGCAAGATATGTCTAAGATGGAAAGGAAAAAACAGAATTCTGAAGCAGATAATGAAATAAAATACAAAACACTGGATGTCAAAACCAGCAAAATAATACAGCTCTGCACTAGAAAAAGCTTCTATACCACCTAACCACCGAACCATGACCCGAGTGTCGACAAACACAGAATCTGCAGACATATTGATGCCAAAACAGAAAGCAAGACGAGCAACACCGAAGCATCACAGTCAAGGAATCCCTTGTCCAAAGCAAGACAGCGCTAGGAAAACGAAATCCAGCTTTGCAACCACTAGCTTATATACTAGTCATTTCATTCTCTATCTTTTGACAAACGTATAAAAGTAACATTTTAAAAGAGCCATGTCGAAATAACCTTTACTTTTAGTCAACAGTACTAGTGCGTGTGAAAGAGACTTTCTTTTTCTTTTTATGTTTATAATTAAACAACGTGCATTGTCTATTTTTCTATATAGAAACGACAACAATATTGTCAATTGTCAATTTTGTGGTGGAAAAAGCGCACGTTACCATTATTTTCTTAGCTGAAATCATCATTATTATTATTAAGATAAGATACATACATTATTTGGATTGAAATTTTGAGAGTAAAAAAAAAACTAAGACATCGAATTTGACCACAAGTTCTTGTTTTGTTTCTTTAATTTGAAAAAAAATATGTAGACTTGAAATATTTATCCTTCATTTCAAGCTTCAATTCCCACCTAATCATTCCAAAAGTTGATATAAATTCATTACCATATATCTTTATTGTTACCAAATCTCAACAAGGGCTGCATTATTAATGTCAGAATGATAAACGATAGCTGGAAACAACCTTGCCAAATTATATTCAATGTCAATCTCAAGATAAATTTACAACTTATGACATCTACTTCCCATTTTCTTTTAGTGGGAAGCGACAAGCAGCTCAACTATTGACATCTAAAAGAGATAAAAGGTTTAAAAAAACTGGCACATCAAAAATACCCAAGAAAAGATGCCTTTGATCTTCCTCTTGAAGTAAAATTGCATAAAAAGCACAGAAAAGAAAGAGGAAATCCAGAGAATGACCGGAGAAAGGAAAAGCACCCTACAATGGATTGACCTATGTATGAACTTGGAAAAAGATGACCGACCTACTGACTATTCGAGTTATATACAGAACATAGTCTACCGATGAAAGGTAATACTGCTGCAAGCAACGCTTTAGGACATTCTTCGTGGGGTAGATGGCCACATCCTGAGATTGCAACCAGTCTCTGCATTTTGAATGAATAAGTATTAGAAAAATCTAAAAAGAAAACCTTATACCATGAAAAATGGTAGAGAAATTTCAGAAAAATGAAGGAGTGGGATCCCAAATTCTGTTTTGTTTTCTACCTTGCAGTTTCCAATATTACCAAGCACACACTCACACACTAATTTCACAGCCACGCATTGTGGAAAATGGATAAAATAAATTTGGACAGTAATACTTACAGAATTCACAAATTTTGATGCCATTGTTTGACAAGATTTCAGAGAAACTAGTGAATCTTCTGCACCAGCTATGACCAACAATGAAATATCCTTTACATCGTGTAGCAATGATTCTGCATTTTTTGCAGAAAGGATGTTTTCAGATGACAATTTACCAATTTCATGAACTGCTTCATCCCATCCTTCTACGTATAGTGGAGCCTATAAAGGTCACAAGAAAAGTCATGGTTAACACAAGTCAATAACTTTTAGATATACCGCAATAATATAAAAGAACTCAATTTATAATTACTCCTAAAAACGTACAACAAAGTAAATATGTCAAACAAATAAAAAATCATATTCAGTATGCCAAACTATCTGAATGAAGTATAAACCAAAAAAATCTGAAGCAATTTAAGTTTGTGAGAGAGTTCATTATATCGCATTTAACTCTGGGTTAAGTGGTAATTTTCCATTCCATGCAATTTATTATCTCCGCAATCATATACATACCTTATAAAGACTCAAAACTTCCGATGTCAGTCTGGTAGCATCATACCATGAACGCCGATTGATCACTTGAGTGATCTCTGTTCTTAGCAATGGCCGAACCAAATGCTTCTTTCCAAGTGAGGTGTGCAGAAGGATTCTGGCAAATGAAGGAACTACTTCCCTAGACAAGCTAACATTTACCAATACAACCCCTTTCACTGTAACCTGAATTACAAAAAAACCTAATAACTTAATAAAATGTCGGGCACATTGACCACAAATATTCATGTATACACTAATAACTAAATACCAAGTAACTTATATGTTAAGTATTTATACATTGCCATGTGAATCCTCTTTTTGGTTGTAATAACTCGAGATAATTATCTTGCATAGTTAGCAATTAACATGTTATGCAATACATGAATATGCATGCTAATCCCAATAATACAATAATAATCTTTTATCACCATTGAGTAGAATCTATCAAGTTACTGCAATCACCCATAATACAATGACAACAATAAATCATGAAATCTAAAAAACATATTGCGCTATTATGTAACTTATCAACTCGTACTATTATCTGGGTGGAAATTTAAAGCACTTTTGATATCATAACAGACACCAACTAACTTCTTTAATCCATTGGGCCCACTTCACAAGTTATTCCGGATAAAAGCCAGGTTGCCGCATGCAGCTAATCAAATTGATTAAGTTATTATCTACTTAACATGAGAACGCAGGAAAAAATACTCACGTTGAAAGAATTCATTGACCTTTGAACTCTTTGAGCAGCCATTAAAGCAAGCAGCCCTCCATCATCATGACCCACTAACACAACTGAAGAAAATCCAATCTCCGAACAGAAAGACAAGAGCAGATCAACCTGAAAAATATAGAACCGTCAGAAGTGTATTTTTGGACAGCAAAATGTTTTATAAAACAATTAATACTAAGGAGAAATAGTAATCACCTGATTTTCAAGTTTATAAGGATTAGGCAGTTCTGTTTTCTCCCAGTCCTCCCGTCTCAGCCTTGAAGTTAATCCCCAACCAGGCCTATCAAATGCAGCAACCGAGCAACTACTCTGCCGAGCGAGAGAATTCATTACGTGTCGCCAAGAGAAGACACCTCCACCAAACCCATGTATTAAAACAATACCCACTTGACTCATGCCCTCCACTTTTTTATCCAAAGACATGATATCTGATTTAACTGTTTCATCACCTTCATGAATTTCATCTAGATGAAAAACAGGGACATCTTCTGAAAGAAGAGGAGGCGTTTCTGGACCATCTAAAAGAGGAGCATATAAAGAAGACGGATCGTGTAATTGATTGCTATATGTCCTGTAGAGTGGTCGCTGGATTTTGGAAGACATGTACGGCAATTGTCTATGAAATTTTGATAGTCCCCCAGACATTGATGAAGTGAAACAAACAGAGCTAGATTCGACGGAGGATGATGAGGACAAGCTAAGTGAAGGAGGTGACCAAGGCAGGCTTAACTTGTAGTGGAGAGTAAGACCTTGGCAGGTGATGAATAAGCTGTCAGAGTCTGCAAGTAATCTAACTGGTACTTCCTCATCGCGAGCTGCTCCAAAGGGTCTCCGCTTCATTTCACTGTCACTTTTTGGGGTTCTCCCCCCAGAAGGAATAGGTGAGCGTGGGGCTTTCTGATAGCTAGAGAAAACACTTTTGCACGAGAGGACCTGCTTAATTAGCCAGAAATAAATAACAATTAATCATTTTTACACATGAGCCATCAAAGTAAATACTATAGATTGATTTAAGCTTTGTGAACCTAGAGCACAAAACTACGACAACTAAAGTCCAAAGAAGTAAAAATAAATAAATTTAAATCCCAAACTTACAGCTTCAGGATCAACTCGATGAAACATGAGCTTTCTCCTTGCTCTGCAGCTGGTTCTATAAGCAACCACAATATGGCCAAGGGCAAACACAACTGACGAGAGAAATAAGACAGGCATTCCCCATGACTTTTTCAAACGGAGTATCTTCCTTGCAAGGGATACTGAAGCTTCCTCTTCAATCTGAGAATTAACAGTGAAAACAAAGGCTTTGACTGAAAGGACAACAATTGAAACAAAGGAAGACAGAGTCACTGTTCCAAGATAAGGACCATGTGAGAGAGCAGGACCATCACAAATTGAATAAACACCTGCATTCATTTTTAAAAAAAATCCTGGTAAGAAAACCAATCTTCTAGATATGAAAACTACACCTATTACTAACAAACATAGACTATTCACCTACTACTCCTTGTAAAGATGTCTTATACAGAATACAAATCAAGTAGAACTCATTCTGAAATATAGTTAATAATTAATAATAATAACAAAATTCTATCCCTTCAATTCCTGATGAATTTCAACTTCATAATTCCATGTACACCAACAGAACATTAATTTCATATTGCATGAAACACAATAGATGAATCATTACAAGTTTTTTATCCTTGTTTTGAAACACAATGCAGTATAACAAAATAAACAAAAATAGAGTAAAGAGATAGGATGAAATAATGCTATATCCTTCGAAAACCAACAACAGAATGGTCATATAAATTCACAAATAACCGCATCACATCAAATTCAAGTAAAATAACGCAAAAAAAGTGATTACAGAGAGAAAAAAAGGATCATACAGATAATGATGAAGGATCTTATAATGGAAACAATAGGAATATCCGTCAAGGAACTCTTAAAAGAGTACCGAATCAAATGCTCTCTGAAACTATAGCATCCAACACACGTAAACCTCGAAACCAAAACGCAGGGAACAACCACGTCAAGAACCGCCACAACCACCGGCAACGACGTCACAACTAGCGACAGCACCAATGCCGCCACGAAAAAAACCGTCCGAACACACCTCCAAAGCTTCTCGAAACACTGTCCTCCTCTCGCCATCATAAACAACGATCCGGTAACCGGTAACGGTTTCCACGTCCGGCGACAGTTACGATGCTACGATGCTTAATTTAAAAAAAAATAAAATAATCGGTTAATTAATTAGTTGAGAGTTAAGAGATTGCGAGATCTCTGAATTCGGTAACGAACTGAAAGCCTAGCTTAGCTAAATTGATAGAAAAGAGTGTTCTCCGACGGGGACTCATCTATTTCCGACAAGCGGCGGAAGGTTAGGATTGCCGGAAAGTTGCCGGAAGTAGTTGAACGGCGACGCTAGGGTTTCGGTGTGAAGGAACGGAGAAAACGAAGAGAGAGGGTTTGAATGGTGAAAAGCCCTCTCTCTCTGTGTGAGAAATTGTGAGAGTTTGAAGTTTTGAAATGCTCTTTGCCTTTCTCTTTTTCTATAACCTCTTTCTTTCTGTTTCTTTCGCCTTCTAATAACCTTTTTGTTTGAATACACTACTTCATTTTATTTTATTTTTTATTCGGTTTTTTAAGTAATTAATCTCGTAAAATCTATTAAAAAATCTATTAAAGAAAGAGATTAATTAGTATACTGAAAAAGTTTTACAGTATAAGATACTTTAAATGTAATTAAAATAAAAAATTAAATTTATAAATTTTTTAACAATTTACACTATCAATTAAATAATTTACATAATAATTAAACTTAAAAAAGAATTATATTTTAAAAATATATATTTATATTTGAATTTAATGATAACTGTAAAGGTAAAGAAGTATTACATAAATATCTAATCAAAATATTTTAAAATTTAAACCATGAAGTATTTTAAAAATTTTAGTGTAATTTAATAAGATATATTATTTTTGTTGATTGACAATATAAAAATATTTTATACTATTAGTGTGCTATCGTTTTTTCTCAGTATATTTTATACACATTCAATTTTCTATTTGTTTGTTTGTTTAGAAAATGAACAAGGTAATTACAATAAATTAATGTTACAGGATTAGGTATCGTGATAAAATAAACTAAATTTTTTTAATTAAATTAAACTTTTATTTAATAAATTAATTATAAATAAATAAAATTAAGAGAAAAAATTAATATATTAATAGTGTAAAATAATTTTATATGGTTCATCAATCACAATCATATATCTTATTATAATATATTTTATTTTAAATTTTTTTTAATAAGATGAGAATTATTGGTTTTTTATTAAATAAGAATGTAAAACTTACACTGCATATAAATTAAACTCAAAAAATAATATAAGTTTATCTAAAATGATAAAAGAAAAATTAGATCTCTAATACAAATGGTCGGAAGAAATCACATTGTCTCATAAGTTTTCGAAAAAGGATCAGGGGTGTTGTAGTTTAATATGAAATGGTTTAATGTTGTTTAATAAAGGAGAACAATTTTCTAGTACCAATAAAATAGCTATTGACTCCTCGGTGTTATTTTATGGAATCTCAATATTGTATTAACTTTGAGAATTGTATTTATACATAGATTACGAGGATTCCAAGAGGTGTGTCTTCAACTTTTATTTTTGTATTATTGGTTGTCGTGTAGGGTTGTAACGGTTAAAGTTGTTACAATTGGGAAGTCGAAAATTAAATAGCTTTCGATAAGTAAGTTTGTCGATGTTACTTATATAAGTAACATTATTTTATCATCAAGTACTATTTAATTGTGGTGTGGAATAGTAAAAATGTAATTGAGATTTGTCTTATAGATTTAATTAGAGTATTATTTTGTGTATGTGTTTATCTAATTCTATTTCGATTTTTGACTTCGACTGATAGATTGTCAGTTATCTCTAAAAAAAATTGTCGACTGATTTTGGTTGACATTGTGATTTATTTTTAAATGTAAACAAATATCTCATGTGTTACGTGATCAAATAATTTTAAGAGAGAAATGATGTTGAGTAATCAATAATATGTTATGTGCGGACAATTTTATCATTATATCGTGGGACAAGAGGCCAACTAGTATAGATCTTGTCTTGGCCCACGAGTCATTGAGTGTGTTTTTGAATTTGTTGATGTGCTTTCTTAGTGGTGTTTCAAACTCCCTAGTTGCCCTTATCAATCTCCATCTTGGTTGCTTGAAATATTTGTATATTTCCTGATCTTGATGAAGTGTCATTCGGTCTTTAAATAATATGTCCAAACAAAAAAATGATTCTATAAAGGAGTGTATTCTCCTCTAATGCATTCATACTATAACTTTGTCCTCACCTCAGTCTCTTTATTCATGTAGATTAAATTTAATGTTGAAGCACATAGGCTCAGACTTAGTCATTAGCTTTAAAAAGAGCAGAATGTTTTTCTTTCTCTTCTGTCTTCAGTTAGGAAGAGTTGCCTCCTTCATGTCGCGGAGAAGTTTAATATTTCCATTTAAGAGGCACATTAGCAGGTCGTGTTGTCGTCTTCATTGACCTCGGTGGCTTTTGGTGAGAATTCAAAGCTAAATCTCATTGATGTCAACCTCTTATCATTTACCCCATAGCTTTTTAGTGGATGGAGGTGGAGGTAAACTTTATGACCTTCAAATAACTTAGGATACAACTTCCTCTATAAGGTCCTTTATAGCCTATTTTTGTAATTTTCCTTTTTATGACTTGGCCAAGTAGTCATCCTCTGTTGCTACTACCCTTTTTAACTATCAATGAAGTTTTCTTCTTGACTTCTAATATTCTCTCACATGGGAAGTGTGATACGGTGGGAGAACTGACTTAAAGGTTTTGCGTTTGATCGCAAATATTGCGGTTAGCAAGAGTCGCCACCGATTTTTCTTTTATCCAAAAGGAAAGGTAAAAAAGTACAGGAAAGACCTTTGAGATTATTTCTTGAGTTCGAGGGGTAGATTATGAAAAGGGAAAGTATTAACACCATTTTCATTCATGGTTTTCCATGGGCTCTTAGTTACTTGCTAGATCACTTGCTTTTTGTTTGAAATTGTGCTTGATGTGGTTTTTAAAAGTATTTTGTAAAGAGACCATTGTTTAGGCAATCTTTGTTTGTAAGAATGTATACAAAGATGTTAATCTTTTTTGAAAATGTTTTCAAGTTTTGTGAGATGTTTTGAAAGTGTAGGTGTTTGTTTTTGAAAATAGCAAGGATGTTTGTTTTGAAATTGAGCAAGTAATTAGGAGCATTCTACTTACTCAAAAATTATTTTTTGTTCATTTTCTTTTCCTTTGACATTGTTGTCTTAGCATTAATTTGGTAAGTAACCCTATCTTTGGATGTAAACGGGACGGGCGTGGGTCATCGTATAACCATAATTAGCAATGTTGCAAGGTATCTTAGCATTCTTTTTTGGGGACTAAGATCATTTGTAAGGCAACTTAGATAGCGTCATCGAGGGACTATGATCTTGTATTTGCTAGTTTTGGCTAAGATGTCTTACATGCGTAATATGGTCATTTTGTATAAGGCAACCAAGTGGAATAACTCTACGGGTGCTTGTGTGCAAGTGTATTGTTTTCATGTTTGTTTTTGTCTTGAATTAGGGTTTTCTAAGTATTGGTTTTAGTCTTTCCATACAAACCCTAATTACTAGCATGTTATATAAAAGCGATAAATTGCGAAATTTAAAGTTACTACGCTATTACAACATTTGTGGGGAGGGGGTATAAAAATTCATGAATGGAGATTGCAAGAATTTAAACTTAATTAGTCTATTACAACCATATTGAATTGATATCAATGTACAAGGAATTAAATAAATACAAAGTACAAAATGAATTAATGTACCAAAAAATGCAAAATGTAAAGAGAATGTATCTTTGTTTGATTTTTTTTTCATGAAAAAGATTTGTCTTAACCTAATTAAATAAAAAAAGTAATTAATCAAGTTTAAATTTATTAAGAAAAGATTTTTGAATAAAACTTTAATTCTATTTAGTTGACTAAAATAAAATAGGTTTAGAAAAGTTTTTTTGATATTTTTATCCTAAAAATATTTATAGTATTATAAAATATTTTGGCCTTTTTAATATTAAAAATAAAGTATTTTAAATAGTGTGAAAAATGAATAAATAAAAAAAGAACATAATATTGATTAAGTTTACAAGATTATTTAATAAAATAAATAAAGTATAATAAATAAAAATATTTTTTTGTGGAAAAAATAAAAATAAGTCAAGATATAAATCTATCATTTTTTAGTATTTTTATGATTTTTTAGTATTTAGATAATATATTTAAGAAAAATAAAAATAAAAATGAAAATAAAAAGAAAATAAATAAATTTGGGCCAGGAGTGTCAATGGGATACATGGGGTTAACTAGCAGAATAAAAAATAAGCCAGGCCCAAAGAGGCCCAGCGCCCTGCAAACAAAAAAAGGTCAGAATTTGTAAAACATGGAAAAATGCAAAAGGGTACCACTGGGGCTCGAACCCAGGTCCCATAGGTCACATGCACGCGCTTCTATCACTGGGGTGGCTATACATCCGTTAATACAAACAAAACAATAAATATGCAAGGCAAAACGCGCCCTGAAGACTTCATCTTCAACCTCCAGCCAGACCAACTGTAACTTGCTCATTTCTCATCAAAAATGAAAACTGTAAACATGAAACTTGTAGCAAATTTTCTCACGATTACAGAAATGTAAAGTATTAAAACTATAGATTAAAGATAAGCATGAATTTAAATGCACCTAATCTGAATCCTAAAAATTTCAGAGATTTCAGTTTCAAAATTCTCTAAGCTCAAGTAAATTTAATGGAAACTATGGACATGGTTAGCTTCGGGGCAATGATATCTACATGTTTTGTTCACAAATAAACTATTGATGATGCCTGTATGAAGAGTTCCAAGTTGAGAAAACTTACCTCAAAACTGGAAATCGTGTTTGGAGTTTGAGCTTGTTTCAGGTAGTGGTAATGATCAGGTTAGCTTCCTTGGGATCATAGGAAGCTAATGCAATGGTTTGCTTGAGTTGAGAGTGGTTGAAATGGCCTGGAGAAGTCAATGTGCAATGCTCTGTTTTTGGTTATGGGGGATATGGTAAAT